CACCCAAGCCTGCCTCTCTTGTCATTGCGAATAAATGTGCTACACAGCTACTTTCTCAAGAATAAGGAAATATTCTTAATTTTAAGGAGATGCTTTCCTGTTTGTGCTGGTGTATCATGATCCTGACTAGCATAATTCTTTTTGGAAGCAGTTTTAGATAGACAACTTCTGCTTAAAATACTGATATGTATATACTGAGACACGCCTGAAAGTACTCAAATGAGTGTTTTATGATATGAGGGTTCAGATTATAATTCTGGCTATTCTGTGCAATACAATGGACAACCCATACTTTGTTGCATGGATGGAATCACATGATTTCTGATATTTGCTAGTATTTTGACAGGTGTTTATAAAAAAAAAAAATCTAAATAAAAAACCCCAACAAATAAAACATTCACAATTTGGCTAAAATTTCCTCACTCTGAAACACATTTCCTTATCCAACTCCATGTGCTGCTGTTCCACATAGCTCCAAATATCAATACCATTTCTGCTGTTTTCTAGTCTTTCTTGTCTTCTCAGTCTTCTGCAAATTTTTAGAAACTGGCAATGGTTCAGAGAATTTGTCTGCCAAGTCTATTACCACCCCAGGATTCAGCTCATCTAGACTTGCCGATTACTACGTGGCATCTTTGGGTTTTCCTAGGTTTCCCATCCTCTTCCAAATTCATTCCGTTTAAAAGCTTTTCCCCAGTTTCTCCTGCCAAAATCCTGAACCCAGGGTAGCATCAGAATAAATGGACAATTTGCTAAGAAGGTACATTAGAGGTCCTCCCTGCTCAGCCCAGCTGCTTGGCAGCTGTTGCTATAGCTCCAGGGCAACAGCAACCCACATATTTGCCATGCATCTCCTCACAGGGAGCTTGACTCCTGGATTTAGTAAGACTCATTCATCTCTTTCTGCCCACAGCTATCTTCTGTGCTGGAGCACTAAAAACCCTTTATGAAGTTGGGGCTGCTGTAGCACCAAAAACTGTATCATCAAAACAGAGAGGATTTTCTCAAGAACAGCTCAAAATTCTTTTTGCTATAAGGTAAGTCAGTGTGGAAGGGAGGTTATGCCTCAGATACTTTATTAATCACATCTAATATCTTGAGTTGTTCTCATAGGGCATTTCCCTGAAGTTATAAACAGGGGGATAAACAGCGTCTGTCATAAGCAGATGCTTTTGCAGATCTAACTAGTGTGACTCAACAGCCCACTTGAAATGTTTTCCCTGCCTCCCAGGGTACTGCTTCCTCGGGTTGACCACAACTGCTCACACGTGCAGTTGCAACTTGACCTCTGAAAAGAATAATGACCAGCTGAAAATCCCAATCCCTTCAAACCTATGAGTTGGGACCAATAACTTCTGGATCAACAAGAACACGTTCCTTTACGCCAAACTTGACAGCTACTATCCTGCCTGAGCCATCTCCCAATATCAGAACTAAAATGCTGCAAGGTAAACCGGCAATTCTCTAGCACTTAAATCCATTAACACAGAGAAGGTAACATGGAAGATTTAAGGACCTGTAATATCACTAAAACAAGCAAGTAAAAATTCTTCTCCATTTTTTTCCTGCTTATCCCTGTAACTTTCTCTTTACTTCATTTACTGCCAATTTCTTCCATCTTTCCTATTTCTGTTTTCCAAACCCATCTTTCCCTGATCTTGTCTTTTTCAATTCACTTTTCACTCTGTATTTGTCAGCTTTCCTTTTACTTCTTCTTCTCCTTTGTCTTTTTCTCCAAATCTCTGTATCATTTTCTTCTCACTTCACTAGTTCCTCACTGACCAAAGTGGCAGGTGGAATGAGCAGGAGCAATGTGCAAATTGTTCTGGAGAGTATCCACAGCTTCACACCCAGCAGCTCCCTTTATGGGAAGGCCAGGATTCTCTAAAAACTGATTTGCACTTTTGTCTCAGTCACTTCACTTGCTGTTCCAGAAATCAGAGGCTTTCCGCAGCCTCAGAAAGGCATTCAGTACCACAGGCTCCACAATGAATTTTTAAGCACTTTCTTCATATTCCCTAGAAAAGGCAAAAAAACCCCAAACCCTCAACATCCTCTGTGAAGCCAAGCAGCAGCTCTATAGCATTATGAGGCTGTATGTAAATACTGACCTTAACAGTTATCATTACCTACTTTTCATTGCTTCAGTTATATCAAAGGCATATCTACCTTACGGTGTCTTCCCATGTCAGACTACAGTCAGACGATACTGTTGAAGGCTGTCTTTAACAAGCTGCAGAATTTCAGTCCCAAATACTGCAAGAGGCACCAGGCTGTAATACAGGGGGGAATTACAAATGAAGAGATAAATACAGAACTAATGCTTTCTGTTGTCAGTTGGAAAATATGATGGTCAGGCAGCTTGATTCTTTACAAAGCGCCGTTTTCAGCTAATTATAGTGTTGAGCATAATCCTGATCATATGGCTTCTTCTCTCCACTCACCTTTAAGCAAAGAAGTATGAGGTAAGGAGAACTGGTCTGGACCAAACATCAAGTCTACCAATGCCATCCAATACACGGTTTTCATTAGTTCTGAAGTTGAGAAGCAGTTCATTAACTTCATGAGCTTCAGTAGAGGTCAGGGTAATTTTAGCGCTGACACCACAGGCAAAGTCCAGATCAGTACTGAGGGGTTTTGCTCTTCCAGTGTTTTGTGGTGTTTTTTGGTTTTTTTTTTTTTTCATTTTGAAGTTAGCACCATTTTCAGTTCAAGTGAAACAGATTGCAATTTCAAGCTTCTCATTAAATGGCCAAGAGTTGTATTGACTTTGGTCAGTTTCATTTAGATCATGCTCAAAACCTTTTTTAAAAATATTATCAGTTCCTTTCTTCTTCAACAATTCACTTTCTGTTGAATAAAAATATCACATCTCAAGCATTTGTGTAATTCCATACCAGACACAGATATTACATTGGTGACAAACAAAAGATTTTCAGCACCAAACCTGGAACAAAACAAGTGGCAACACAGACAATCTGACTGTAAGGAATACCATAATTCAGTTTTTCAAAACCAAAACATATTAAAGCTTCTTACCTGGATGCAGTCTGCAAAGAAAGAAAAAAACATTTAAGAGGTGTTTGTTTGAAAACACAACAATTATGCGCTCACCAACGCTGGTATGTGACTGCACAAACAGCATTCTCTGTGAGACACTGAAACAACACGGTGCTCTGAGATCAGTCAGACCATGACTTCAATTTCCAAAGTGGTGATGGACTCCTTGCTGTACAGAAATCAGCTTGTCTCCACAGTCTCCAAGCCAAGGAGTTTGTTTCCAGAAATAACACTGAGATTCTGTAAGGAATTCATCTGAGACATGAGTGTTTTCTGAAATCCCTAAAACACAACTTAGGACCAAAGTAAACAGTTGTGAGAGAAACACGCAGGAGCAACGCGCTGTCTCAGCAGTAGAGACAAAGCTGTAGAGAATACGTTATTATTTTTCACTTCTATTTTTTGCCTTTACCAGCAAATAGCACGTGTCCAGAGAGGTAAGCAAAGACCGGACGAGCACAAAGGGATTCTCTGCCAGTACTCTTTGCAGTGTCCAGCGATTCACAGTTCAAAAGGATTTTCTAAGCCAGAGGTGCTGCCTTTGTATTTAGCAGCCTTTCATGGATTCATCTTTCAAGTACTGGTCCAATTACTTTCAAGTGATGTAAACTTTACATTAATGAGGGTTTTTTTCTTGTTTGTTTCTTTAGGTATTTTGGTGGGTTTTTTTGTGGGGGAGAGAAGGGGCTGTTGAAGAGGAGTGCCATAGCTCACCCGCACGCCTGTGGAGACCACCTGATTCTGTATGCCTTGAGCCATCACCTGCAGATTCCATTTAATAACCTCTAGTCCTGGTATCGGGAGAGACAGTGAGCAATCACTCCCTATTCATCCTCTCCCTCTGCCACTTGTAATTTTATGGACTTTTATCATTCCCTCTCAAACCATCTGCCTTTCAGTCTATTTAGTTATCCTCATACAGGTGTTGCATGCTATTCATCATTCCTGTCACCCTCCTCTAAAATCTCTCCCAGTTTTACTATACTGGGTTTGAGACATTTCTGGAAGAAACCAGAATGACACACAGTATTCAAGATGCACATACACCACTGATTTATAAATATCTATTATTTAGTTTATTAACAATGCTTTATTTTCTTCTCTATTTGCTTTATAGTAATTCCCAACATTTTAATTAGAATTTGAATCTCTATGAAGCTGACATCTTAAAAGATCTATGAAAACCCTAAGATCTCACTTCCAAGCAGTAACAGACATCCACTGGTGGTCCCCAGGAGTTACATAAAATGACTGTTTTCTCCCATATCCGTTACTTCACATTTCCTGCACTGAATTTCATCTACCATTTTATCATCCAGTCACTCCATGGGGTAAGGCCCTTCCATAATTCTTTACTCAGTCATCTTTACTACTCTGAATATCCTCTGCAGACTCTGCCATATTTCTCTGCAGCCCGTTTACCAAAAAGGTCACGAGTATACTGTAAAGCACAGGCCGAGGCACAGATCCTTGTAAGACTTCATCGCTAATTTCTTTTTGCCATGAAATGTGATGATTTATTTCTGCTTCCTATTTCCTATCTTTTAATCAGTTATTTAACCATCTTTGAACCCTTCCTCTTACCCTGCACAGCAGCTTGCTTTCTCTAACAGCCTGGTACGAAACCTTGTCAAAAGCCTTCCCTTTCTGAAGGTCATTTCCATATTGCTGCCAGTGCTGTACATGGAGCTCAGATCCTGCTTCACAGACAGCTGAAAGTGATTAAAACTTGACCCTTCCTGCTCTCACGATTCTACTGTAATGCATTTCATTCAAATTCAACCTGCTACTCCCTTTCCAGTGTTCACCCCCTCTCCAGTTGAGTGATATTATACACATTCAACAAAACTAAACCAAAATATTTCTTGATATTATTTGTTTACGGAGCTTTCCAGCTTGTACAAGCTTGCAATATTAAAGGAAATAGAGCCACATCAAAATTAGTCTGAACTCTGTCCCACATTTATTACATGTTAAAAAATGAAATCAAATCCCACATACTGTTACGTAATTTCCCATCACTTTCACGCTGCAAGCCATATACATTACCAGACAATAAAGCTTCATCAGACCTTTATTGCTAACGTGAAGAAAGTTTTAAAGAGTTCTGCTGCATACTAAAGATATACTGCAGTGGGGTGGGGTTTTTCAGGGGGAGGGGGGCGGAAAACCAACAAGGTTTTCTGTCTGAAGATTGAAAGCTCAATATACAAAGCTGCAGCCCAACCAAGGATTTTGATATTCAGAGAACTGAAGCACTACTGATTTGGAAATGTAATTTTTGTTACAGCATACAGGTGAATAGCTCATGCCTAATTACAGATTGAGACAATTTGAAATAGCACAAGTTTAAAATCTTAATGCAGAAAATCAGACCATCAGAATTTCCAATGAAGCATTCATTCTGGAGCACACAGGCAGCCTCCTAACACAAACAATAGTACAGATGATTTAATTAGATTACTTTGCTCCTATGAATTCTTCCAAACAAGCTCTTTAAGAAAGCCAGAAATAGAATTCAGCTTTCATCTCTTCCGGATGCTTTGGCCTGTGGCAGTCAGTCATGCTCTCAAAGCGTGTTCTCACAGAAGCAGCTGTGTATACACAACAAATCACATTTGGACATGTTTCGATCCAAGAGTGGGTAAGGACAAGCAGAGGTGAGCAGCAGGCTGGCCCTCCACACTAACACCAATGGTTGTCATAGCAACGGGAGGCATCACGGAAACAGTCTGGTATTGATCTTTCCATCCCATGTTCTTGCCATTTCTTCAGAGCGGCCTCACACAATGCTACCACAACCAACAGACCCAGGTTCTGAAGTTAATAGCGATGAAAAGGCAACAGGGAATAATTAGTGCCGTGGTTAGGCTGAGTACACAAAGAGCAGGCAGCAGAATTTTCACCTTAACAGGAAGGCAAGGGGAAGGGGGGTGTCAGTCCGTACAGGCACGCTCCACCACGCCTTCCAGTCACATCTCCAGTTCTCCGTGCATCCTCCTGCGGGGCAGCATCTGCCTGTTCTCAGCGTTTGTCACAAGAGAGTCCCCGATGCCTGGGTCAGGTATTGCACAGAGCAGGATACAGCAAAGGGTGTTCCGTGCTTAGGTGAAAGCCTGCTACATCATGTCAGCCTACCGCAGGATGGCACCGAGCCAAGAGGGTAAGAGAGAGAGACTACTTGCAAATACTAAAGAGATTTTTCAGGTTAACAACGGCGTAGCTCCGGAGTCTCTCAAAATATACTACAGCACAACTGAGTTCTATAAACATGGGAGTATAAGAGATTTCGGTAAAGCCAAATATTGTTTCAAATAACAACACATAGCTCAAAATTGCATTTAGTTTGCAAATTACAGGATGGTGCTCTGTTGATACTACCATAAGGATTAAAATGTAAAATATATTTCAAAGGTTTCACCTTCACAATTAATATTTCTTCTGAGGATATGCAAAATTGGAGAAAAACTGTTTAAAATATTAGACTGAATTAAGAAAGACTTTTAAGACCATTCCCAACTGTGTCTATAAACATTGAAGAATGATCAGAATACTTAGCAGAACATGGCCCTAGCTAAGAAAAAAGGCTGTTTATATCAGAAAGATAAAATATTATTATTGTAAATGAGTAGATCACTTGCTACATGCATCCTACATTGTCCCAGATTTTTATCCGCATAACAACACCTGTGTAATCCACTATATTTGCAATAAAGCTGAAGTAATAAAGCAATAGTGTGGGAAGTACCCAATATCCCTAGAAATAATTCACAAAGTGTTTAGCCCCTCAAAAAAAAAAAAATCTTCATAGTTTTCCAAGGCAAATACAAAAGAGAAAATTAAAGTGTCTATACTAGTACAGATATTCTTAACAAAATTTTAACATTTATACATAATAAAAATAGATCCTGAAAAAAACCTAAACAACACCTACTGATCGTGTACATCAAGAGAACAACTTCCCATAATCCAAACAAATTATAACAGTATGTGATATTTAAGAGCTCTGGGAACCCTGTTAATAACAAGTCTGCCATCATAACTTAAAGAGGCAAATAGCCACGGGTCTGCTGAGGACCATTCAACTGCATATACACTGTCTTCATGTTCTTCATAGGTAGCTATTACACTGTCCTGGAGGGGCTCTTTAATCCTAAAATTGAAGACAAAAAAGAAAATTAAAAAAAAGAAAATAAGGATCTGTGAACGTACTCGGTTTAAAAGGCAATATTAAGTGTCACATCTAAATATGCAACCTTCCATTTAAAGTATAAGAATGCAGTAGTAGGCTTTAAGGAAATATTTTATAATAGATATCTGCATGTACCTGTGTTTTAGATTAATACAGCACAGTCAAGTCAATATTAGAGATCCCATTTGCAGGGACAAAGTACCTGTTATTCTCAACTCCAGAGCATTTTCAAGTCTCTCAGAATCTACGATAAGCATCTCTCTCTCTCTAAAGCAAGTTAAACTAAAAGGTATCATCTAAATGCACTTAAACACACATTTTTATCAACAACTTTTCTCTTATCATGCTCCTCCCATTCTTTTCCCTCTTTGCTGTTAATTGAACTTCTAAAATAATATATAAATCTTATCAGAGACATGGAGGTAGGTAAGAAGTTGCAGTCCTTAACATCACAGTCTCTCCTGTGCTGCCATCTTGGACCCATTCTCTGCAGAGCAGTGGAAGGGAGATGGAGGCACCACTCCAAACAGCTTAATTTTTTATCTCCCGTTCCGAGTTATACTAACACCAGATTCTCATCTATTATTGTATGCCTCACCTCTCACTGCAATACCCAAGGCTCCTGGTCACCTACATCATGAGGGACAGACAGATTCTCTTTTGCATTGCAAATATTCAAGAACAGATTCAGGCTATTCTCTGAAGTCCAAACCACCGAGGAGTCACCGATTGTTCTCTGCTAGCTGAGAACAGCCCTTCTTCCCTCTGCTCACAGACCCAAGCCCTCCTCTCACAGCAACACCACAGCACATTATTCTGTAGCTACAGGGTAGGTGAGTTTTCAGAGGATGACCTTAGAGCTCCTTCACCCACAGAGGACCACCTCTGTCTGACAGGAATCAGTCAGCCTTTCAGAAGCATCCCCCTGCCTCCCAGGAACAGCATGGTGTTAAGGCTGCAATCCTCCTAACAGAAAGCAAAGCCAAAGAGCCTTGTGAATGTCACTCAATCATTTAAACAGACGCTGCTGCCACAGAAATTAAGCCTTGTTATCGGCTGTCTTTGCCCTTTGCCGCTGCTCTCGGAAAGCACACGTCTCCACCACCACAAAGAGTATGAGGTACCGCATTCGAATGGCTCGCAGGGTCCTGCTGCTCCACCTGGCCAGCCTCACCAGCTGGGAGCCTAACCTCGCAGCTAAAAGTCAATTGAATTTAATGAATAAACTAAAAGCAGTCTGATACTGTAAGAATAGCTTCAGATATTTAGTCTCAAGGACTTTTATCAGTTACTTATACCACGTTTAAGGTCAACTAACAAAAAAAGGTCATAGCACAAACACCACGCCAGCCCCCGGTTAATTGCAACGAGCAAGCTTGTTTTGCAGTTCTCCTGAATATGTACTTTGATACAAACCATCTAACAGCAGAGAGCTAATAAACACACACACACACACACACACACACACACACACACACACACACACAGAGACACTTCATCTCCTGCAATGTGTTTTTCTAACTTCCTGCTAACTGACATGCCTGGTTAAGTGAAAGTTGGTCACGTCCCCAGACAGCAATGTGCTTCGCGCAGCGCTCACCCACTTACCCACAACTCCATTATTCCGAAGGTTTCAGCTGTCTCTGCGGATAAGCAGGGGAGTAATGCACGGTGCACATGGCTGTCAGGGGACACGGCCGACTTTCAGTTAACCAGGAGCCTCAGTTAACCAAAGGCTGGATAAACAAGGGCAAATAAGCTCCTAGATGATACTATTTTCTGTATGCTCAGAGTTGTTTCAGTGTTTCATTTAAATAACACAGTTCATCTAATTTAATTTACAGAACTCACAGGGGAATGAGTGTTCAGGAAAGAAGCCCGCGGATGAACTTCTGTTTGGCATTTGCATTTGTAACTACATTTTTAAACTGTCTTTTACTATTGTCTATACACTGAATTTCTTCTTAGGTAGGAAAGTGATTTTGTGCCTTCCCAGAAAAAGAAAGCATGATACTCCATGTGGTTCTTCAGGCACAGGAGTTCAGTTTTCGGTAGTTTTTTTTTTGTTTGTTTTAAATGATCTATGATAATATTATGTATAGACTACTTGTGCAGAAGAAGAGCATAGCCTTGAGGCAGTTATTGAGAATCTGAGAAAATCCTTATGGAAGTGATTGCTTGGTGTAAAACAGCTGGATACTATACAAGATAATCAGGAAAAAAAAAAAAATTCTCAGATTGACATTGTCTCAGGAACAATACAGAAGATCCAAAAGAAACTGTCCATGAGCATCCTTTACAAACACTATGAATGAAAACAGATTAGCCTTTGAATTATGTAATGGGTAATAAACTCAGAAGGATTCTGCTACCGGAATAAAGAGCAGAATTTATTTCATGTATGTGAAAGACGATTAAAAACGATTAACAAAAAAGAAGGAGCAGGGTTGTTTGTGGTGGATTTTTTTTTTTTCACAACAGGGATCTCTGGAGGCAGACCACCTTACCCCACGCTGAGACACTTCTAAGAAAACACCCCAGATTTGTCTGCATTTTGGCTATGTATGTGCTTTTTTGGTAATCCAAGAACAGGCTAAGGATACAATTTTTGAATCTATCTGAATCTAGGATACTTAGAATAATTCTGAGTCCCTCAAAAAATTATTTACTCTCCATGAAATTTTACACAGCTTTTGCACATTTATTAAAGAATCAATTCAGGTTCTCCTAACTCCCTAGATATTAAATATAATTTGGTCAATGCAAGAAGTTACAGACGTAACAGCTATGACAATGTCATTTATTTAAGTAAGATGAAGTACCTTTAAAATATGTATGTGTATATATATATGTATAAACAGAGTCTACAGAAAAAGATTATTTTGGCCACAGCACATACTAGTGGAACACATACAAAACAACTTATATTTATCTTAAGATGTTTTTGTCTATTTAGCTATTTTAATTATCCTTCTGTTTTTAACAGCTGCTACAATTTTATTTCTCCTTAACAGGAGAAATAGGTAATTTCAGAGCCTAACACCTCCTAGCACTGATAAGTGTATTATTTTCTAATACACTAGTCATAATGTAGTAATGATTAAAAGCATATTGCTATACTTTCACCTGCATTATTCTTGTCTCAAACTTTCCATTTCATAGGTACCAACTCCTGACGACAATGCCCAGGTTATTTGCTGCCTTAGGTTAGATGCGTAACACCGGACACAGAAGAGGAGAGCATGCAAAGTGGACTGGATACTGGGACAGTCAGAAGATCTTTGGCAGGTTTTAGACAGAGATTTCTAGTTTTACATAAACGCTGCAGGTTACTGGTGTAAAAAGGTAGTTGCTATGCTCTAGTTAGTTTAGTGTACCATAGGTGTAGGTGCTTGGCCTATTGAACCCTTGATAAAGCAGCCTGACTGGACTATATTTGATAAGCACACTTGGTAATCACTTCTTATGCCTGGCAAGATTAGGAAATCTTCCTTGTCCTAAATCTCCCTGACCCTTAAAAAGTTCCTTTAGTTTCTAATTTTCCTATATTACAAGGGGCAATGGTTTTAAAGACTTTTTCTGGCCAGACAAAAACACCTTTTTCTCTCCTCATATATGTTCTTGCAATGCATCAACTGACAAGGCATAAACTCTTGTGTCATCAAGAACTCATAGTAAGAAATGTGTAATCTCTACCTACATCCTGCATAAATTTAAGACCTGCGCCACACAGAGCTGAAACCGGACCGCCTTCTCTTTGTAGTCTTATTCACACAGCACGACCCCTACCAGCTTCTGCTATGAAAGGAGAAGAGCTTTCATTTTACTAGATAACTTTGAGGTTAATTGTGTTACAGACTTGAGAGAGAAGCCTGTTAAGCCTTGGATAATTGTTTTCATGTAGAGAGCTGTTATTTCCAATTACTTCTCATGCTAACAACCACTTAAGTTTGCAGTGCTTGCGATTCTGTTTTGTCGCCACAATGTTCAATAAAATATGCTTTTCAGAGTCACCAAAAACCATTAATTCCTTATCACAGTCAAAATTAAATCCTCTTTAATCTAAAACTACTACGAAATAGATGTGATTCAATAGAGCAGCAACATGTACTGCAGCGTCCAAAATAAATCCTGAAAAGCGTGCCAGTGGATTCCAGAATATGGCCCGTGGATGCCCTTTCCCTTTAACTGCAGGAGAAAACTCAGCAACTCCAAGGTTTTGTTTCTGGAAACCTTAGATAACACACTACTTCCCTTTTCACTCTTTTAAGGAAAACAGAATTCAAGAATGTTTATACCAGAGCACAATTTTTATATATAATAATTGGCTATTCATACTATTCTAAGCAATTTAAAAAAAAAAAAAAAAAAAGAACATACTTTTTTCCCCCCATTACAGAGAGAATTAATTTTGAAGTTTTCTTCAAAGCAATTATATGGATTAATAAATTTAAAAAAAAAAAAAAAAAAAAAACACCTCAAAAAAGAGACACTCTTAAAGCAAAACAGTCTAGGAATTGGAAAGTGCTGCTGCACTAGATTTGGCCCAGCTTCTTACGCATCCAACCAAGTCAAGTCCTGAATACTGGCATTCCCCAAAACAGAAGCTATTTAAGCTGTTTTAATTAATTGAGTCTCTTGGTTGATTCCATAGAATATCCCTATGATTTCTAGATTTCTCCAAGATATAAATACCACAAGAAAAATATAATCAAAATTAACACTATTGGCAACTGTGTGAAAATAGCCTGAAAGCCTGCCTTATCATGAAAGTTTAGAAAATATATTTCAAAATACCAACGCTGGCAATTCATTCTCCTGAAGTCACAATGCGTATACAAAGGTATTATGTTAGATCACAGTTTGTATGTATTATTGCAAAACCACATGATTTACTATTCAAAAGGCTCCAAACCACATTTCTATCAGAAAAAGTAGAAACCATCACTGCCTATAGATGG